GTAAGTCGAGTATGAAAAAGAGGCTTGCAACCTCTTAGTTATGAATGTGGCGCGCTTCACATCCATAATTAAGAACTTACATGGACATAATTTCCAAATCTCTTGGCGTATTGTCACTCAGATTGGAAAGCTGCTTCCGAAGGAAACAAAAAAAATTCGTATGTGAAACTGAAACTGACAAACTCAAAGATAAACCCACATGCCTTTTGATAGGGGTGTGGTTTGATTGTGGTGGAAGTCGCTCCTCAGTTCGCGTCCGATACTTCTCTTTGGACTATGTCCCAGTTCGCTACTAAGAAAAAGTTCCACGTTGTGCTGCATCCTTTTTGATGTCGTCCGCACCTGTGGTTTGTTTTGAGAATTCATCCTCTTGGATGCTCTCGACAAAAGCTGAGATAAAACTCATTAGCGTAAAATGTAATTCAAAATGGAGAAAGAGTGCCTTTTTACCATTTTCACCCTTAATTGCTCTCCTTGAATATTTAACGACGGCTTGTTTCAGTTTGACGTAAAGCAAATAAAGCTCATATCTCATATTTTCAATATAATTCTTCAATGTACGCTTCTTTTGATATCAGAGCAGTAAATTAGACTGATGTAATATGTTGATTGTTCTCTTGATGGTCTGAATATGAAATGGCCTTCTCAGCGATTTGATATGTAAAGGCCTTCTCGGAGTTTTGATATGCAATGGCCCTCTTGGCAATTTGAATATGAATGGCCTTCTCGGCAGTTTGAATATGAATGGCCCTCTTGGCATTTGAATATGATGGCCCTCTTGGCATTTGAATATGATAGCCCTCTTAGCGGTTTGAATATGATGTCCCTCTCGGCATTTGAATATGATGGCTCTCTCGGCAATTTAAATATGCAATGACCCCTTGGCATTTGTATAGGATGACCCTCTAGGCAATTTGAATATGCAATGGCCCTCTTGGCCTTTGTATAGGATGGCCCTCTTGGCAATATGAATATGCAATGGCCCTCTTGGCGGTTTGAATATGAATGGCCCTCTCGGCAATTTGAATGGCCCTCTTGGCGGTTTAAACATGATGGCCTTCTCGGCGATTTGAATATGATGGCCCTCTCGGCAATTTGAATATGCAATGGCCCTTTCGGCATCTTGAATATGATGGCCCTCTCGGTAGTTTGAACATGATGGCCCTCTCGGCATTTTGAATATGAATGGCCCTCTTGGCGGTTTAAACATGATGGCCTTCTCGGCGGTTTGAATATGGTGGCCCTCTCGGCAATTTGAATATGCAATGGCCCTCTTGGCATTTGTATAGGATGTCCCTCTCGACAATTTGAACATGAATGGCCCTCTCGGCAATATAATGTGCAATGGCCCTCTCGGAATTTGAATATGAAATGGCCCTCTCAGCAATTTGAATATGATGGCCCTCTCGACAATTGTAATATGATGGCCCTCTTGGCAATTTGAATATGCATGGCCTTCTCGGCAATTTAAATATGCAATGGCCCTCTTGGCGGTTTGAATATGAATGGCCCTCTCGGCAATTAATATGCAATGGCCCTCTCGGCAGTTTGAATATGCAATGGCCCTCTCGGCATTTTGAATATGCAATGGCCTTCTCGGCGGCTTGAATATGATTTTGACTATGAACGTCGTCTTTCATCAATATTTGATATGATGATAGGTATTTTTTTTATCATAACATCATTTTCATCGGTATTTCGCAACCTTAAGCGGTAGATACTAATCTTTAATCTGTCAAATACCTTCTTGATCAAATGAAGATGTTACACTCACTAATTGATATATGCTGGATATGCTCTCCTAAACTAGTTGGTTGGCAAATATAGCTTCTTTGATGATCTTGCTATACCCTGTATCCACAAAAACATGTTAGTTCTAAAACACTGATCTGTGTTGAAGTCGCCTTGCTCCTAGTTTCGTTATCTCTGGAACTTTGTCTGGTAGATCCAATGAATCGCAGTAGACAAAAGACAAGATCATATTAAAACATTTGCTAGGTATGAAGTTTTAAAACAAAAATTTTAAAGAAAATCTCTGCCAATTAACTGTCACGACATGCACGACACGAACAAAACCCTTTGTCTCAGATTTTGACATGATAGGTAGCTTGCTGGCAACTTAAAACCCTTAAGAACACGTCAATTTGAGGCAATTGAAGTTGACTTCGAAGGTCCGAGTATCCTTGATGGAATTTTTGAGGTCCTTCTCAAAAAATTTGTCCCAGTTAGATGTTTCAAAAACAAATCTGATGATGATCACTAGAGTCTTGAATTTGAGATCTCCTCAAAATTATTCTCAGTTGCACATTTCGATATGATCCTTGACTCTTGTTTGTAGGAAATGATTCTTCTTGTAGAATTTTTGAGGTCCTCTTAAAAATTCTGTCCCAGTTTCCATTATGAGGGGAAATGGAAATCTTATTGGGAATATAACCGAACCCTTGTGGCGCTTAAGTATCCCGTTGAGGCGGGAATCAGGTCAAACGTAGTTCCCATCTCGAGAAGTGACAAGAATAGAAAATTTTATAAGGGAAACGACCGAGGCCGACATAGGCCGCCTACGTATCTCATTCTTGAGAATTCAGGTCGAACGTAGTTCAAGTACAAGGGGAATGTTTCAAAACATAATGCGACAATGATTATAAGCAAACTGCAATTACAAGGAAATAAAGAAAAGAAGTATCATCTTTCAAATGTAGTATCTCTTGACAGCATCTGAATTGATAGCTTTGCGCCACACCTGACCGTCCATCTCTGCTAGAACCAAAGCTCCTCTTGATAGTACTTTGTGGACAACATATGGTCCTTGCCAGTTAGGTGCAAAACTTCCCTTTGTATTCGTCTTGATGAGGGAAAATGCGTTTCAACACCAATTGGCCTACCTCAAATGTTCGAACTCTTACTTTCTTGTTGAAAGCGCGAGTCATTCTCTGTTGATACAACTGGCCATGACAAACACACTCATTCGTTCTCATCAATCAATGTAACTGCTCATATCGGTCACGAACCCACTCGGCATCACTCAATCCAGCTTCCTGAATAATCCTTAAAGATGGTATCTCAACTTCAGCTGGTATCACTGCTTCTGTTCCGTATACCAATAGATAAGGAGTTGCTCCAGTTGAGGTTCGGATTGTGGTGCGGTAACATAGCAAAGCATAAGGCAAATTTTCATGCCAACATTTGTAGTTGCCAATCATCTTTCTCAGTATCCTCTTGATGTTCTTATTAGTAGCTTCCACAGCTCCATTCATCTGAGGGCAATATGCAGTTGAATTGCGGTGGGTAATTTTGAATTGTTCACATTGTTTGTGATGAGACTCTGGAACTCCAAAACGACATATCAAATTGTTGCGAACAAAGTCGGCCACAACTTTCTTTGTCACAGCTTTGTAGGAAGCAACTTCGACCCACTTGGTGAAGTAATCAATGGCGACCAAAATGAACCTATGACCATTGGAGGCAGCAAGCTCAATCGGTCCAATAACATCCATGCCCCAGGCTGCAAATGGCCAAGGAGAACTCATCGTATTGAGCTCGTGGGGTGGTACTTTGATCAGATCTCCGTGTACCTGGCCTTTATGATATTTTTGGACTAATCGACCACAATCATTTTCCATAGTCATCCAAAAGTATCCCGCCCTTAAGATTTTCTTTGCTAATGTAAACCCATTCATGTGCGTCCCACAAACTCCAGCGTGCACTTCTTCAAGCAATTTTGCGGCCTCTACAGCATCCACACATCTCAGTAATCCCAGATCGGGTGTCCTCTTATAAAGAACCTCTCCATTCAAAAAGAAGTTGTTTGCCATTCTTCGGATTGTTTTCTTCTGAATACTTGTTGCTTTTTCAAGATATTCGCCAGCTTCTAAGTATTTTTTCACATCGATATACCATGGATTCCCATCCCATTATGCTTCCACATGTGAACAATGTGCTGGTTGTTCTTTTAAAACTATCTCAAGTGGATCGATATAACTCTTTTCTAGGTGCTGTATCATGGACTATATGGTTGCAAGGGCGTTAGCAAGCTCGTTCTGTATTCTCGGCGTGTGTCTGAACTCGGTTTTCCTAAATCTTTTGCATAATCTTCGTACCAATTGTACGTAAGGCAAGATTTTAGGATTCTTCACCGCCCATTCTTCTTGAACTTGATGAATCAACAAGTCTGAATCACTGATTATTAGTAATTTTTGAACATTCATGTCAAGAGCCATTTTAATGCCGAGAATACATGCTTCGTACTCAGCCATGTTATTAGTGCATCGGAATCTAAGCTTTGCTGTTACTGGATAATGTTTCCCCGATTCGGATATCAACACTGCTCCAATTCTTGATCCTCTAAAGTTTACTGCTCCATCAAAGAACATTCTCCACCCAATTCTTGATTCTGTTATTAGTGCATCGGAATCTAAGCTTTGCTGTTACTGGATAATGTTTCCCCGATTCGGATATCAACACTGCTCCAATTCTTGATCCTCTAGAGTTTACTGCTCCATCAAAGAACATTCTCCACCCATGATATGATTCTGATATGTCTTCCCCTACAAACAATACTTCTTCATCAGGGTTTTCAGCAAGGTGATCGGCCAAAGCTTGCCCCTTGATTGCTTTCTGAGTCATGTACACATTATCGAACTAACTCAACAACATTTTCCACTTTGCTAGCTTTCCTGTGGGCATTGCTTTCTGAAATATATACTTGAGCGGGTCCATCCTCGAAATGAGATGTGTTGTATAAGCCGACAAATAATGTCTCAATTTCTGAGCAACCCAAGTCAAAGCACAACAAGTTCTCTCTAAAAGGGTGTAACGGGCCTCATAGGATGTGAACTTCTTGCTAAAATAGTATATCGCTCTCTCCTTTCTTCTGGTCTCATCATGCTGCCCCAACACACACCCGAATGCATTGTCAGAGACGGATAAATATAATAGCAAAGGACTGCCCGCACGTGGTGGCACCTACACTGGTGGATTCGAAAGGTAACTCTTGATGGTGCCAAAAGACTTCTGACATTCTTCGGTCCATTTGGTTGGCGCATCTTTTCGTAGTAACTTGAATATAGGCTCACATATCACTGTTGATTGAGCTATGAATCGACTGATGTAATTCAGTCTCCCTAGAAAACTCATTACTTCCTTCTTAGTCTTTGGATGAGGTAAGTCTTGAATTGCCTTGATCTTGGAAGGATCAAGCTCGATACCTCTTCTGCTAACTATGAATCCGAGCAACTTCCCTGCAGGTACTCCAAATGCACATTTGTCTTGGTTCAACTTCAAATCGTACCTACGCAACCTGTTAAAGAATTTTTCCAAGTGTGTCAGGTGATCCGAACTCTCGCGGGATTTTATGATGACATCGTCCACATACACCTCAATTTCTTTGTGGATCATATCATGGAAAATGGTGGTCATAGCTCTCATGTAAGTGGCTCCAGCATTCTTGAGGCTGAACGGCATCACTCGATAATGGTAGACTCCTCAAGGTGTGATGAATGCTATTTTTTCCGCATCTTCTTCATCTATTAGAATCTGGTGGTATCCCGCAAAGCAATCCACAAAAGATTGCAGCTCATGCTTAGCACAATTATCGATGAGTATGTGGATGTTTGGCAAGGGGAAATTATCTTTCGGACTTGCTTTGTTGAGATCCCGATAATCTACGCATATCCTGATTTTTCCATCTTTCTTCGCCACTGGAACAATGTTAGCCAGCCAAGTGGGATACTTGGTCACTTCAACAACTTTTGATTCGATTTTCTTCATGACCTCTTCTTTTATCCTTAAACTCAGATCGGGCTTGAACTTTCTAGTTTTCTGCTTTACTGGACAGTACTCTGAATTGATAGGCAACTTATGGGAAACAATATCAGTGCTTAGCCCTGGCATATCATCATAAGACCAGGAAAACACATCGATGTATTGTCTGAGCAGCTTGACCAATTCTTCTCTTTCTGTTGCTGCCAAATGGACACTGACTCGGGTTTCTCTGGCCAACTCGTTATCTCCCAAGTTTACTGTCTCTGTTTCATCCATGTTGGGCTTTTTATCGTCTTCAAGTTGCCTCAAGTCCTCGGTAAGGTGTTCAGGCATCATAGTTTCCTCGTTATATTCTTCACATTCATCTTCATCGACCTTACTTGGTTCACCGTGTTCGTGACATGTCATGACATTGACAGGTTTAGATTCATTTTTACTGAAAAGAACAACAAATCAACCATGTTAGATAGAAAGAATTTAAATGTATTTATTGAAGAATAATTCGTAATGACAAGATAATCAATTTAAAATAAACGAGGCTTTCATTGAAATTTTAAAAAGGAGTACAAACTTTTGGTCATGACTCATGAGTCATTTCCTTTTTAAACATTACGATGAAAAATAAAGTGACATAAATGGTGGTTTTGGGCCTCGTCCGAACAACACCGATTTTCAAAAATAAAACTTCAAATCTTGTCTTTGTCTACCAAGTCATTCGATGGATCATAAGTGGAGTGGCCACCCAATTCTGTAGCATGTCTCCAGATCCGGCATCTCGGATGGTGGGTGTTGTTGTGCATTCTACCGAGATCACATCACAATCTTCTTCATCAAACAATCTTCCCATCCCTTCCACTAGACCATCAATCTCAGGCTCTAAAGCTTTAGCAACAAATGACTGGTACAATACTGGAATAGGCTTTGGTATATCACAGTCATGCTTCTTCCTTGTTCCTGCATCAAACAATTCTTCCTCTGTTGGGGTATAACTGACGCCGAAGCTGAAATTTTGAAGTGGTATAGGAAGAGGTTCGAATATGACATCTAAATTCTTGCCTAACCCACACCCAGGTTCAAAACCACTTCTCAGCATGGTTGTGGCTAGCATTTTATGCATTTGCGGCATTGGTACTTGCTGTGTCGTATCTTCAAAAGCAGCATTCATTATCTCCACCATGTGAAAGTCAGTACCCTGAGAAGACTCTTCAATAACTGGAATGGAGAAACCAGGGTAACTGCAATTACTCCCTTCACCATGGATGACGATTTCATGATCCTCCTAGATGAATTTCAAAAGTTGATGCAATGTGGATGGGACTGCTCCAACAACATGGATTCATGGTCTTCCTAGCAATAAGTTGTAGCTCGTAGATATACCCATCACCTGGAATTCAGTGACAAATTCTGCAGGCCCCATTTGGATACACAACTCTAGTTCCCCCATGGTTTCTCTTTGCGAACCATCAAACGCCCTTACATTCATACGACTTTGACGGATTTTCCCTATATCATAATTTAGCTGAGTAAGGGTTGATAATGGGCAGATATTGAGTCCTGAGCCATTATCAATCAATACTCGCGCTACAAACTTGTCCCTGCACTTGACGGTAATATACAAGGCACGATTGTGCATCACCCCTTCGAGTGGCAACTCTTTTTCTCGGAAAGAGATTTGATGACTCCCAATGACATGACTTACCATAGTGGCTAGATTCTCACCACTTGTTCCCGTCGGTACATACGCTTCATCAAGTACCTTCAACAGTGCTTTTCGATGGTACTCAGAACTCATTAATAGAGCCCAAACAGAAATTTGAGCGGGACTCTTCTCCAAATACTTGACAATGGAATACTCCTTAGGCTGCATTCTTTGCCAAAATTCTTTAGCCTCACCCTCTGTGATCTGCCTTTTTTGGTTCTCCTTTCTTCGTGTCTCCTGAGTCAGTTCTTCTGGAATGTAGCATCTTCCAAAATGTGTCATCCCTTGTGCGGTAGCCGCTTGTATGATAAACTTTTCTTTGGGCTGGTCATTGCTTCTTTCTTTTGCCAAAATGAATGCCTGATGAGGTGCAGTTATTACCACAAACTCTGGACGGGCCTTTATGGTCAACGAGGCCACTGTTGGTATAAGTGAGTTGACAGTGGCTTCACCGATAGTCCCATTAGCAAGCCAATCTTCGTCTCTTTCAATCATGTTGATGGTAGCTCCTCCATGATTCGACAATGGGTTAAGGTTCACATTGGGGGAAGGGGCTTGGAGAGTGATGACTCTGTTATCGATCAAGTCTTGAATCTTATGTTTCAGATTGATACATCCTTCTGTATCATGGCCTGCCCCTCCAGAATGGTAAGCACATCGTTGATCCGCTTGAAATAACTTTGTTGTGGGATTAATTGTCCTTGCGTCTGCTGGTTGGATCAATCCTGCCGCTCTTAGACGCTCAAAGAGTTGGGTACGTGTTTTTGCCAAAGGAGTGAAAACTCTGGGAGGCTTTCTTTCGAGGTTAGGACGGGGTAGATTATTGGCATTTGGGTTGTTTTGTCCGGGATTTTGGTAGACTTGTGCATTGGCTTGGTGATTTGGTAGTGTGGTTTGGTAGGTTGATGGTTGGTTTTGGTAGATAGGCGGTGGTGCTTGGTAGTTCTGTTGTGCATAGTAGATTGGAATTGGAGATTGTGGAGATAGTGGGTAAATATTTGAGGTGGGGAATCGGTTGGAGTTTCCAATGGCAGAACTAAACCCAAAATACCTTTGCGGCCTTGCCCTCGGGGTAAAAGATACAGCAGACACGTCCTCTTTCTTTTTCCTAGCGAATCTTGTGGCCATGGATGGTGAGGATTTGTTGGCGGCCTGCAAGGCAGTGAGACTTGTAACCTTTCCAGACTTGAGGCGATCCTCTATGGCTTCTCCCATTCTGATCAGCTCCGAAAACTTCTGTCCCATCATGGGCAACATTCTTTCATAATACTCGGGCTCCTGAGCTCGAATAAAAGCAGAGGTTATTTCACTTTCGGTCATCACAGGTTGTACCTTTGCAGCTTCTTTCCTCCA